AGGGGGGTCGAGCAGCGGCAGTGAGACCTCCATCGTTGACCTTCCTCGAGAACTTCCTAAATTGGTGCTGTTCTTGTATTTGTGTGTGTCGGCAAAACTGAAAAAAAATTGTTCCAGACGAGGAAAATAAGTGGGGGTTCGGGTTGTGGGATGGGATTGTGTGTGTGTGGGGGGGGGAGTAGTAGTCCTCGTATGTATGTGAGGGGTGAGTGGGTGGATGGGGTGGTGGTATACGACCTCCCGGGGTTAAAGTTAAAGACACCCGTCGGGGCGACGCATTAACGCAGATTTGTGCGCATGGGGTCATAAGTGCTCCTGGCCGTTTATCTTCATAATTTTTACGGCTGGCACTAGACATCAAAACGGAAAAAGGGGATTAACCCTTGAGTTGCAGGTTCACCTTTTTGATTCGTATTTATGCTCTCCCTGTTCAACTATTCCCGGATTCTTTTAGAGTGTCTCTATTAGCCCACTTTAACATCTAATGTTTGTGAAAGAAAAAACGAATGCACAGGCTGAAAGTTCTTTTAAATAATATTTCACGGAGAGCAAAACATCGAAAGAGTAATCCTAGATTTTAAACAAAATTCAGACATCTCCGAATTATGCAACCGCAAAGCTCACAGTGGTAGATGAAAACTCCCAGGATTTTTTTCTTCTATTTTTTGTTTCTTAAAACGTTTGTGAAAGAGTTAAGTTGGCACTTGTGTCGTTATTTCTGTTTATGAATTAGGGTCGCAGCGGTTGGTGAACCAGGTGTTAATAGGGGGAAATTAAGTTAACTCTTCTACCCAGGAGGCACCGCCAGAGGGCCAGGTGCAGAGCGCTCGGGGTATGTGTGTGTGTGTGTGTGTGTGTGTGTGTGTGTGTGTGTGTGTGTGTGTGTGTGTGTGTGTGTGTGTGTGTGTGTGTGTGCGCGTGTGTGTGAGCAATATTCTGGCAATCTGCTACCCCTGTATGTGTTCCGTCTAAGCCGACCCTTCACTATTACCACATGTTTGCTGTTTGTTTCTCCTCTTGAAATTTTTTTTTTTGAAGTTTAGTCTTGTTTTGTTTTTTGTTCGATTTTTAGCCAAAACTCGATACCTAGCTCGTGATATGACACTATGACACTTAATCTGACTCACAGACACGATTATCAGTAGTCGAGCAATATTAGGCGTGTATCGATTATCATGCTTTATCATCCCAACCCTTCTCTATACGGCTGCACAAACGACCAGTTGTAGACAGTGGACATGAAGATATAGAAGGAAACAGAAATGTGTTGGGTTTTTTAGGAGACTGTTGAGAATATCTTGGAAGGGAAAAGAAATGAAATAAGGAAGTACTTGAAGAAGCCCACATGGGACGCTCACTGATAAAGATAATTAGGAAGGGGAGGG